GAAGAACGGCACTGTAGATTAAAAATATCGATAGAATAGACATATGTAGCTTAACGAGCTATGCAAATGAAGGCAAATGATTAAAAGAGTAATGAATGGGGATATTGAAAGGGTCTGGTGGTTCTGAAACTTTTATTCACACAGAGAACTATAAGCCAAGGCAAATGAAGATGACTTTAAAACTAAAAATGTCTGATGTATATTGCAGAGAGAAAATGGCTCCAATCAGATCTCTACATAACTTCCACAAGTCAAAAGTGCTTTCAACAGATGTGTTTAATCAGTCCACCAGGAAACCGAGTCATGTTTCTACATTAGCTTGTGCAATTAGTGCTTCTGATGAAGAACTATTTTCACTTAAACAGACAAAATTGTATGCTCCTTTCTTCTGTGGTATGTAAAACAGCTTGCAGGCAGCCTTTGATGCAGTCTATTATTGCAGGTATCATAGATTTAAAGGAATAGTTCCCCCAAAAATGAAAATGTGTCAATTTACTCTTGATATTGCAAATCCATAGGAGTTACTTTCTTTACATTTTACATTTACATTTATTCATTTAGCTGACGCTTTTATCCAAAGCGATTTACAATTGCTATGCATGTCAGAGGTTGCACGCCTCTGGAGCAATTAGGGGTTAAGTGTCTTGCTCAGGGACACATTGGTGTCTCACAGTGGATTCGAACCCGGGTCTCTCACACCAAAGGCATGTGTCTTATCCACTGCACCATCACCACCCCATCTACTGCACCATCACCACCAACTATCATTTTTTTTTTTCTGATTTATCAGCACCAATAGTAGCTTTGTGGGACGATCTGTTATTGGTAACAGTGAAACAAAAACAGTCACAGGCTTCGCATGGAGTTTGTAGTGACATGCTTTGTACATGAAGAAGTGGATTTAAAATGCGCAGAGAATGGTATGTATATGATTCAATAAGACGGCAATTTAAGACATTTAATTCATTTGCTCAACTATTGCTACTTTGGAGAACTGCATGTTTGCAGACAAGGTTAGAAGCTGTTTGAATCCTTATACAATGTGTTGGTTAAGAATGGAAACTTGCCTTTCATCTTAATTCGCAATTTCACTTATGCTTTGTGCCGATCCAGTACGATTTCCTGATCAGGGAGGGCATCCCTAGGTTTTTGCTTTTGAACATCTAAACGTTTGCTTCAAAAGACAAAATATGCACAAACTGCATAAATGTGCAAAACCTGCACAGGAATAATCCATTTATAATTTTCCGTTTCCCTGTTTCGTTCCCCCTGTTTTTAGTAGTTATGCGCAAAAGAAACATAAGAGCAAAGTACAATGTTTAAATCTAAAACATGACTGACTTTTTGTTGACTTTAAATGGGTGATAGATTGGTTATGGCCATATTTTTCCATTTTAGTTACCGGTATTAGCAAAATCTTCTCTACCACCTACTGGACTGGAGTATTAATTGCTTGTTACGCACAGGAGTAATTATGTCTGACCCAATTTTACAGTTTAAAAAAGGCTTATTTATCGGGTTTTTCTTCAACAAACGTGATTGGAACACTCAAAAAATTATCATAGAGCTACATGATATTATTCATATTATTTTGCTGATACTTTTAGGTACCTTTGCACTGAATTCACCCATCCGACTATTCATGAAACGATTTATTTGATAATTTCTAAAGATACAACCACCACTAAACACCATATTCAAAGAAAACGGTTTCCTGTTGGCCAGTCTGGCTTTTCCTGTCCAAGCTGCCGTTTTTTTTGGCCATGAAGAATCATGAATGTGGGCCCGTCTTGCTGCCGATTGCTCTGTAAAACTACAAGCAATCAAAAACTGCAAAAAACATTCAGGTGCCCTCTTTCCTGTGCAATAGTTTGACTACCACGAGAAGGGTTCACTGCAGCCTTGCTACTACACGAAATCAATCAGATTGAATTTAACTTCGGTTTGTTTTTTCTTCCATTAGACCTTGACCCTCTAAGTCCAAAAACTCAGAGTAGATTAGAAATTGCATTTATTGTAGGCAAATCGTATTCAAATGTATTTTGAAGGCTCTTGGAACAAGGGCAGAAAAGCCCCAATGAAGATTTTCCCTGTCTCCTCTAGCCTTTATTTACAGGCATAATGAAAATGATTGTTTAATAATGAAATGCCCTAACAGCAAGGTACACACAGCCACAGCACTAACTGGCCCCTAATTTAGCCCTGTCATCATAAATTTTTTAAAGCAGGAATCAAGAACGATCTGTGGCTTAAAGTAAATAACACAATTCTGCTAAAAGGAATTTGTGGGCGTATTTCATTCTGCACTGACTAAATAGAGGCTTATGCTCTGATCCAGAGTATTTCAGACGAGCAGCGTTGGGGAGCAACTAATTAAAAGTAGCTGTAAGCTTCAGAGTTCATTCAAATCTGTAAGACCTGTTCTACTTTAGAAAACTAATTTTGAAGGTGGTCGTTCTTTCCCATGCAATAACTTACAAGGTTCATATCCACAACAGTGCCATGACGTCATGAAAGTGCCGAAATATTCCATGTGTTGTGAAGTCGTACAATAGCTTTGAAACAGAGTAAGAGACCAGAATTTAAGATATCCCTGAAAACCTTGACATCCACCACAGAAATAGTGATTTATGGGCAATTTAAAAAGAATCATAGTCTTGAGTCCAATCTTTGAAAGAATCTATTGACAGAGTCAAATTTGAACTAGAGAAACTGATCCATCTAAATCAGTCATAACTAGCAGAGCTAGGGCGATGTCAAGCTTCTTAGTGGATAACCAATTTAATTCTGGTCTGTTTCTCACAAAGCTATTGTACGACTCAGAAGACATGGAAAGTAGTCCACAAAGTCATGGACCATTTGTATGATTTCCTGAACCTTGAAAGCTTCAGTCCCGGTTCATTGTAACTGCATGGGACTCAAACATTCAAAATGTCTCCTTGTGTTTCACAGTAGAATGAACGTCAAAGGTGTGGACTCTCATTACTCACAGGAGGGTGAGTAAATGATGGCAGAATTTTTATTTTTCAATGAACTATTCATCCGTAGTTCATCCTGAGACTGAATGTAGTTAAGCTACTTTAAAACTGTATCTACCCAAGTAAGGATTCCTTGGTGTGCGCCGTTACACGTACATTGATGGATATGCGTGTCTCGTCAGAGTGAACCCGTGATGTTTTGCTACTGCTTGACCTCAACAGTGAGCACTTGGCCCACATCGAACACTTTGAATGAGTGTCTGTCACACATGGCACCATGCCTTATTGCGCCTGGTGGAGTTGAGGGAAATAAATTGCTGAGAAATTTGGTCCAGGTACATTTTCCTGCAAACTTTCCTCCACACACAGTGAAGAGAGAGAGTTGTCCCAAACATCTTTATCCTGGGAGAACAAGGGCCTTCTTCAGGCATTGTCGTTGTCTTCTGACAAGTATACAAACACAGAGGCATACAAAACAAATAAAGTATGCCTTTCAGAGAAAGAGCAATTAAGAATCTCAATTTACCACGTGAACCGCAGAAACTCTGCTGGGAGAAAGAAAACCAATAAGGAAATAACAAATGGTGCATTAAAACCAAGCAACATCGCTACGGGACTTCTGACAACAAGATGTTGTGCACCATTCAAGGTCTAGGCCCAAAACATACTCGTGTTCCTCCAAACCCATAAGACGTTTGTTCTTCTTCAAAACAAAAATGAAGATATTTTAAATGGACACCTGAGGGATTTCTGTCCTTCCACTGAAAGTCTAAAAAAAATGTTCATTAATAGTAAGACATTGTAAAAGTATTCCATATGAATCCATGTCTTGTGAAGAGACATGATCACTTTATATGATCAACAACAGATTTAAATGTAGGCTTTTATTCACATATAAACACATATGACTAATCATAAAGCAATTGTGTCTCTTCAGAAGACTTGGATTAAACCGTTCTATTCAAATGGATTACTTTTACAATGTTTTAATGCGTGATCCTTTTGGTTGCATCATAGACTTTTTAAAGTAGGGACAGAAATGTCTCAGGCTTCATTAAAAAATAAAGAACGAAGAATGACAGTCTTATGATTTTGGAATGATGCAATGGTGTGTATATGATGACTTTTTTTTGCGAACCAACCCTTTAATTCTAACCCTTCATATCACAAAAATAACTGCATTAATAAAAAAATCAGAACGCAATTCATGAAGGGGCGTTCACACTGACAGTGATTTGCTGTGACAAAGCGACCAGAAGTCACTCGTTTTCAAGGAAGTCAGTGATTTGCTGCGACATGGGCAACTGCGACCGTTGGCAACAAAGTTGAGCAGAAATGTGTGCAAATGAGCAGTGATGCGGTGTAACCTTTTTCTTTCAGCAAATGCAAAGCATTTGTGTACTTGTGTAGAGTATGTTTTTGGCCTGGAGAACAAATTGGGCGGAACTTGAGGGATTTGATTCCTCGAAGATCAGACAAGGTCAAATGACCCAGAAAAAATGTATCCTCATAGATGCCAACAGCAGAGCCTGGGGAAAAGCCCCTTATCCTCCATCCGTTGAGTGCATCAATTGAGCCGAGCCTTGCTCATTGCATGGTTCAGGATATAACTGTCCCATAAGTCCATTGGGAAGGGTCCCTCTGGGCCCCTCAGAATCATTAGTCTGGACAGCCCGTTTAGTCTACTTGAAATCATACGCTCAAAGGTGTAAAGGTCAAGACATAGAAAGACATTGGGAACAACCACAAAGATTGAATCTGACAAACTCAAGATCCTTGGAAGAGCTTAAACGGGCATGTTATGACAAATATTGAAAAAATATGATTGAGAAATGACATTAAAATTCATGCCACCGGGCATAACTCAGTTGGTATAACACCAACGCTGGCTAAACACCAAAAGCGAAGAACAGAAAAACTTGTGAGTTTACACAGCTGTGCTGTCTGAGTCTGCAAGGGCCTTATACATAATTATGAGACTTCATATGCATATATCATATTGCAAAAGAGTTACTGACTTACCAATATACTCGAAAACATAAACCACAAAGAAGGGTGTGACAAGGTCATTGATCCCCTGAACGTATCCACTTGCTGGATGTCGTATTGCCCAGATGAACAGAATTCGCTCAAAGATCTAGAAAAAAGAAAGTTGCAAAAAAAGAAGATATCATGATTATGTTCAACATTAATATGCAAGTAGCAATTTCATTTAATCATGCAATACAACATGAAAACTGAAGTAGCAGAATTTGAACGTACAAGGTCACTCAAACGGTTTTAATTAGAGACACAGTGGGATCAGCCACCCCCCAGCTAGCAATCAATTAAGAAAATCAATTAAGCCTTCTGAGCTTTTTAATCATTAACATCACAACATTCAATGGCGTAGACAGCAAGGTGAGAAATTACAATTAGCTGTGTGCATATTTATTATTAGATGGCGCTCTCTCTTAGATAGACTTCAGACTTTAGCCCAAAGTATACTGCAGTTTTGACGCAAACGATATGTTAATTCTGTTTTTAAGAGGAAACCAGAATAAGGTATTTGTAATTTCCTCATAGCTGTGTTTGCAAACGAGGAAACTCGAAATTCTAGATGATACCAGAGTTGTGACGTTGGAAAGGGCATCTCGATGTGAAACATGAAACAAGTGAGTTTGTTGCGAATGGCAATGGCATTCGATGATATCGTTGAAGTGTTTGTCTTGTTGGTATAGAACAATTGTTTTGTACACTGTAATGAATTTATAAGATCATAAACGGGTAAGATTCTAAAACTTTTAAAATCAATATTTCATGTCCCCGTCACCGGAACTGTTTTTGTTAGTGGATGCCTTGTTTTTAATGAGCTAATAAAATATTCCAATATTTTGTGCCTAATTATTTACTTATGTGGCAAGTAGCTGTGTAATAAGTGGGATAATGTACACTCACCTAAAGGATTATTAGGAACACCATACTAATACTGTGTTTGACCCCCTTTTGCCTTCAGAACTGCCTTAATTCTACGTGGCATTGATTCAACAAGGTGCTGAAAGCATTCTTTAGAAATGTTGGCCCATATTGATAGGATAGCATCTTGCAGTTGATGGAGATTTGTGGGATGCACATCCAGGGCACGAAGCTCCCATTCCACCACATCCCAAAGATGCTCTATTGGGTTGAGATCTGGTGACTGTGGGGGCCATTTTAGTACAGTGAACTCATTGTCATGTTCAAGAAACCAATTTGAAATGATTTGAGCTTTGTGACATGGTGCATTATCCTGCTGGAAGTAGCCATCAGAGGATGGGTACATGGTGGCCATAAAGGGATGGACATGGTCAGAAACAATGCTCAGGTAGGCCGTGGTATTTAAACTATGCCCAATTGGCACTAAGGGGCCTAAAGTGTGCCAAGAAAACATCCCCCACACCATTACACCACCACCACCAGCCTGCACAGTGGTAACAAGGCATGATGGATCCATGTTCTCATTCTGTTTACGCCAAATTCTGACTCTACCATCTGAATGTCTCAACAGAAATCAAGACTCATCAGACCAGGCAACATTTTCTTCAACTGTCCAAATTTGGTGAGCTCTTGCAAATTGTAGCCTCTTTTTCCTATTTGTAGTGGAGATGAGTGGTACCCGGTGGGGTCTTCTGCTGTTGTAGCCCATCCGCCTCAAGGTTGTGCGTGTTGTGGCTTCACAAATGCTTTTCTGCATACCTCGGTTGTAACGAGTGGTTATTTCAGTCAAAGTTGCTCTTCTATCAGCTTGAATCACTCGGCCCATTCTCCTCTGACCTCTAGCATCAACAAGGCATTTTCGCCCACAGGACTGCCGCATACTGGATGTTTTTCCCTTTTCACACCATTCTTTGTAAACCCTAGAAATGGTTGTGCGTGAAAATCCCAGTAACTGAGCAGATTGTGAAATACTCAGACTGGCCCGTCTGGCACCAACAACCATGCCACGCTCAAAATTGCTTAAATCACCTTTCTTTCCCATTCTGACATTCAGTTTGGAGTTCAGGAGATTGTCTTGACCAGGACCACACCCCTAAATGCATTGAAGCAACTGCCTAGTGATTGGTTGATTAGCTAATTGCATTAATGAGAAATTGAACAGGTGTTCCTAATAATCCTTTAGGTGAGTGAATATGCAGCTGGTTATCGCAATATAACTGATCACACTTTTGCGATAACCACCTGGATCTACATTATTCCCTTACTTAAGCGTCACAAACATTTAATTTATTTAACAAAAACATGTGAGAATTGTCCTTGCTGTTGTGGAAACCCGAGCTCCAAAAATAACATAATAAATGTACACCACTGTAATACAATATTCACTGTACATGAGTTTGTGTTTTAGTGTTTTAAGGAAAGAGTGCATTCATAACTTACACACACAAGCACGTCACTTTTTCTTAGTCCAATGTCATTGTCTGTCAGCGTTATTTTGTATTGTCATTTTTGTCAACAGTTTCAGTTTAATGTTTTATTTTTATCATGATACATAGAACATTCTGTCATAGTTTGTTTTGAAAAAAAAAAATGTATCAGTAATTTGAGTAAAAGATGCGATTCAGGAACATGTCCTACTTGGTAAAACCGTGTTCATTCTTTAAATACATTCAATGTAGTCTTGTCTGAGTTTTGAGTAACTTCAGCACTTTAACGCCAGATGTGGTTTTTAAGTTGATCTTTTTTGACAGTAAAAAAAAAAAAACTTTTTTTTGCATTCCTTTCTTTGGAGGCAATACCTTAATTCAAAGTGATGGTGACAGTTTTCTGTGTGTTTTCGTCTCACCTTGCTGTCAGCACAATGGAAAGAAGCAAGAAGTTTGACTTAAATCAAGAGGGAAAATGGAAGACTTTCTCTTTCTCTTCTCTCTGACGCATGCAACTGACATCTCCCGCGCTCCTTTCAGAACGTAATGTATCTGTCATCCCCAAATAAACTCATCTCTCACGTTGAGCCCTAAACAATAAATGTGTACAAGGCAGCTCGCGCTCGTTTTCTTTCCCGATTGTGTCGATCAAATGGTGCGGCTTTCACATCTGCGTTCTTTTCTATGATCAAAGCTCCATTTATCAAAGACTTTAGACTGATAATGTGAGTTTCTCCACATAGCTGACATCTCCTGCCTCTTTTCTCTCTCGAACCCTCCCACACCGTCTCTTCTCCTTCGAGGTAGTCATGGCAAGATCTCCTCCAGAAGCCTATTACATAGTGGAAATTAGACACCAAACCGGGCAGCAGAAATCAATGGGCGAGCTGGAGTGCACTGAAGCACCCGAATCCAAAATATTATCCATTTATTTGGTTAGGAGACATCCACAGTGAAGATCACCGTACTCCAAACACTGCTCGTTTTTGATTCTCCTTTTAAATGCGAAATTATTATTTAAAAGGCAGCTTGGGGGGATAGAGAAGGAATCTTGCTCAGGGCCACGATGCATCGACAGAACTGTGTTTGCGATGGAAATTCATGTCTTGAGAGCCCATCACACTAAATTGAATATGTTGAATATGAAATCGAAAGGCCGTGTTGGGGGTATTTAAGTGCAAGTCTGGCGGCAGGCCTACAAAAACGCTCGCAGCATACGCAAAGATCTTCACTACACTAGAGCAGTGAACAAACTGAAGGTCACAACCTCAGCCAATCGCAGGACATCCTGCATCGGATGTGGGAACTCCCTATCCTCAGCTCTATGATATCTGCTCCGTTTCTTCTTTTTATATATATATTCGAAGAATAATTCACGTCTGATTTTAAATTTAGGCCTAAAAAAAAAATCTTGGTAAACATTAGGGCAAAAAATCTAAATAAATAAATAACATGTATGTGCATTCAAATGAACGATCTGTATTATGTATTATATAACAATACATGTTGATATATTTTTATAAATATTTGTGAGGTGAGACCAGTTATTTTTGTTTTATTATAGTGGTAATACTTTACAGTAAGGTTTCATTTATTAACATTAGTGAACTACTTTAGTTAGCATTAACTAAGAACAAACAATACTTCTACAGCATTTATTAATCTTAATTTCAACATTTGCCAATACATTATAAAAATGAAAAGTTGTATTTGATAACATTAGTTAATGCTGTGTGAACTAACATGAACAACTGTATTTTTATCAGCCAACATTAACAAATATTAATAAATCTCAAAAAGTATATCGGTCACTGTTAGTTCATGTTAGTCAATATATTATAACTAATGTTAACAAATTATACCTTATTGCAAAGTGTTACCATTACAGTTTTAAGAATATTTTGAATTAGCTTTTATTTGTATATTTTTAATTATACATGTTAATTTAATTTCCATGTTAATTTTTGTGTATTTTTTATTAATTCAATTATGTGCTTTTGACATTTTTTAATATTTAGGATTTTTTTTTTCAGCTTTAGTTTTTATAACTTTCAGATAATTGCCAAGGCAAAGATTTGTCATCTAATATTTATATTTTAAGCTTCATTTCAATCAACAGAAATAACGATAATAACCCTGGCACAATCCACACCCAATGTATTCCATACATTTTGTACATTCAAAATATGACCGAATTATCAGGTTCAGATTCGTCTCTAGCTTGCCTCCCAATCTACTTGTCGAACAAAGGTGCCATTTTATATTACGGATATTGTTGGCTCGTTGGCGAATTGCTTTGCTTCTCTCTTGTAAGATCATGGATGGGCAACTTCAGTCCTGTAGGGCGCCTGTCCTGCATAGTTTGGCTCAAACCCTGATAAAACTCACGTGTCTGTAGCTTTCTAGTAACCCAGAAGATTGTGTTTAGCTGGTTCAGGTGTGTTTAATGAGGGTTGGAGCAAAACTCTGCAGGACAGTGGCCCTTCCAGGAGCAGAGATGCCCATACCTGGTTTAGATCCAACTAAATCTGTAAATCAGTAAAATGTAAAGGTTCTTCTCAGTTAAAGCAAAGCGGCTCAGGGTTTGGAACAGAACATTGGTCCCACACTTCCCTTTACATGCTGTCCATTTTGATTGCACGGTGTGTTTGAGGGCATAAAAAAAGTGTGTTGGCTAATTGAAATTTGTTAGTGCATGTGTCATTGACAGACATCATTACAAGACTTTCTTTTGGCATGCTATCATTTAGCATTTCAAAGCCAACATGCAACCTACGGAAAGTTGACGCAACACCACATGCTCCTGCTTAAAGTGCTCAAACTTAGTTTTAAGGATTAGTTCTCAAATGAAAATGATTTGATCATCTCATGTCATTTCAAACCTGTATGAGATATATTCTCCCAAGGAATACAGACGAAAATGTTTTTTTTTTAAACTACTGTTCGATTAAACGAATATACTGAAGCAGGACTAAAATTTTCAAAGCTTCAAAATGGATGTAAAAGCATCATAAGTGATCCAAAGGACACTATATGTCATGTTTTCTGAAGGAACAGAGTGGTAATTAAGCCCTTATATTTTATAGTATATTTGAATGACAATTAAGCACTTTCCAGAAAACCAAATTCTTCTCAATGATGATTCCCATTTTATGTGGATTTTTAACAAGTAAAATTAACACATTTAAAACAAACACTAAAATATGTATACTAATTTAACGTTAAAATTAAAATACGATATAATATGTAAAAAAAAAAAATTCTCACAATGCATTATTATGAGAATTTTCCCCTTGATTGTCAAATAAATAGTCTCAATTAAAAAAAATCATTTTTTCTTTCATTTTATTTACGTAAGATAACATTTCTAAATAATAATAAATAAATAAATGTCCCTAAACTTGGGTATATGTGCTTAAGACAACTCAAATGATAGGTATAGATCACTTCTATGACACTTGTATGGTTCGGCTGCATCCTTTTTGAAACCGGAAAGCTTTATTTCCCAATCATTCTAAATGTAAACCACCACAGTCTTCAGATTTCTCTCGTGTTTCATTGAAGAAATAAAATCACATGGGTTTGCAATGAGACAAGGATGACAGAATGCTCATTCTGAGATGGATTGTTTCTTTGAGATGCTTTATGTGTCTGGGTGTGAGTTTGTGAGGATGAACTGAGTCAAGCAGAGTAAAATGGGTAGTGCAAACTTCTCACCTCTTGCACAGAAGCTTGTTGAAAGAGAGGTATAAGAGGATTAGTTCTCGGTATGTCAATGTGAATCTGCAGGGAAGAGACACAAAAAAAAAGAGGAGCACAAGCAGGTTAGGACAGAACGGAATAGCGAGAAAGCTCGGAGAGAAACGGGGGTCTGCCCGTTTGAGGCTGCACCTGAGAAGAAACTCACTGGATTCTACTTCCTAAATTCTGCATTCTACTTCCTGTGCACCTTAACGCAAGATTTCCAACCCCAAAAATTTGAGATCGAGACCAGACAGACAGTTTGACAGACAGACAGATGGATGATGATTGAGTGACATGCTTTTGGGTGGACAGAAGCATGTGGCGTGACCATCAGTCCTCTTACCTCGGTGACCTTGGGCTGTAGAACTAAACTTTCCGGACTCATTCGGGGAATATCTATGTGAATCTGATGGTTCAGAAAACACACACACACATACACGTATATATATATACAGTATATATACAAAATATCGATGTCAAGAACATAGAGAGTTATGGAACTGAGAGATGACAAACACACAAATACACAAATATGATCATTATTAGGGATGCACGATATATCGGCCACAATATCGCTATCGGCCGATATATGTTCATTTTTACTGTTATCGTTATCGGCCTGATAAGAAAATTTGTCCGATATATTAAAGCTGATCAATAATGGATTATTTCCTTTAGCTGAGACTCTTCAGATGCCATGATGGTTTTTTGAATTGCTTGAAATATGATGGGAATCACTTTAAAAAATGGAAAATACAGTAAAGTGCAACATGCGCAGCGCAAAATCTGTCTTATAGGCTCAATACACTTATAATGAGAACATTATAATTGTGTGTTTCAGACATGGCTTTTAATGGTGAGACTTTTGTTTTTGTAATCAGCATCTCGAAATTGTATACAAATTTGGATTTAGATTTATCGGCCAACATATCGGTCATTGGCTTTCAAATATAAAGAAATATCGATTATCGGCCAAAATGTTCATATCGGTGCATCCCTAATTTTTTTGCATGATAATATTTTCATGATAATTAAGCACTTTGCAACCCAATTCTACTCAGTGGTAATTCTCATTAAGTCTGGATTTGTCTTTTTTTTTATATCGGCATAAATTAAAGGCAGTACAAATACTAAAATGATCCATTTAAAATATGAGATACTTTTTTAAAAAACATTACTTTGCATTATTGTAATGAGCATTTATTATTGTACAAATGTCACAATAATATCTTAATATATAACCAATCTTTTATTTTTTATTAGTTATAAAATATCCACAATTTAACATAATTTCCCTGACTTTGGATTAGTGCTGTCATGAAAACATCACAATGGCAAAAAAACCAACAAAAAAACACCTTAGTGATCGTAAAAAGCAACTAAATATATCTTTCTTCTTTATTTATAATTTTGGAGTGGTATACAAGATATGTTCTTAACAGGCCGGTGAGAATCACCCAGATATAGCTTGCGAGAGGTGAATCTCACATCGTCAGTGATCACTAGACGGCAGTCTTAAATCAGATAGACATTTATCAGATCAGAGTGACAGCAACAGTTTGATCTTCACATCCTCCTGCCAATTCACTGGAGCTTTAAACATTCCTTGTCATCTTTTCCTCTTCAGCATCTAAATATCAAACACTACCTGCTGGTGGCATTTCTAAACACTCGGAGCTTCTAACATAACAGTGTTTTTGGCAAAGCTAACATGCTGCTGCTGCCAAGACCTCAAACAGTAGGTAAAACGCAACCAAAACCCCTGACTATATCACATTAAACCTCTGGCAAAACTGAACTGCTGGCTTTGAACTTAGCACTGGCCGTGCAGAGCTGTACAGGAAGTTAGAAGGAAATCGCAGGAAGTTCTAAATAATCTCCAGAGTCTTTGATTCAGCTAATTATTGCCACCATCCTGTATAAAGTTCAGTTAGCAGCATTCTCTAGACATAGGAGGCCTTTTCCACAAAATGGGAACACTGGGTCTCATTCACTAATAATTGCGTGGATTATTTCGTATTTGTGCACAGGGGAGAACTTCTCGAGAAAAATCTTGCCTAATTCACAACACGTGTGTGTGCACATGAATTTGTTCTTAATTCCGTTGTATTGTTAGTGAATTTGGAGTATTGTAAATACTAATCTGTGCATGAGGTTAGTCATTTGCATAAAACGCGCCCAAACCATCTCTAAAATAAAGGCTTTCTGCACAACCTTTCGTCACTCCAGTCAAACTTGTCTTCCTCTTTCATTGTATATGATAAAATATATGATGAAATTACATTTTATTATTTGTTCATTTATTATATAATTGTATACAAAATATCATATAATTACATTTATAATGAATAAAATATAATTTCTTATAATTAAAGTCATGTTAAGATGAAATATAAAAGAGTAGGTGCTTTTTGCGTACAAGTGGTTTCAGTGCCTATTTTTTTTTTTTTTTCGTAAATTTAGAATACATTTTAGTGCACAAGTTTTTGGTGAGTCATGATTTGCTCGTACGCAGAGTTCACGCACAAATTTGTGTGTATGCAGGCTTAGTGAATGAGACATTATTTTTACAAAATAGGGACTTTTTTTCCCCAAAGAAAAAGCCTACTAGATATAATATCAGCATTATCATTTTATAAATAACAATTCTATAAATATACATTTTAGATTTCAACCATGTTACCAATACAGTTTGTATGAAACCTATTTTATAATATATTATATATATTATACATATTCCTATATATAGGCCTACACACAGTCATTGGAAAAAGAAAGGACACCCTATTGAATTATGTGGTTTTATGTCTCAGGACATAACAAATCATCTGGTCCTTGGCTGGTCTTAAAATTAGGTAAATACAACCTCACATGAACAAAAAAAAAACATGACATATTACGCCATGTCATTATTTAACAAAAACTAGGCCAAAATGGAAAAGCCATCGGTGACAAACTGCTTCCATAGGAATTAATAGGGTAAGTAGCAGTGAGGCGCTTCAAATCAAATGTCTTTGATTAATTTATCATCAGCATGTGTGACTAACTCTATAAAAGCCGAAGTTTTGGCAGCTTGCTGGTCTGGAGCATACAGGTGTGTGTTAACAGTAACACAATGCCAACGAGGAAAGACATCAGAAATGATCTCAGAGAAGCAACTGTTCCTGCCATCAATCTGGGAAGGGTTATACAGCCATTTCCAAACAATTTGAAGTCCATTATTCTACATTAAGGAAGATTATTCACAAGTGGAAAACATCCAAGACAGTTGCCAATGCTCCCAGGAGTGGACGTCCCAGCAAATTCACCCCAAGGTCAGGCCGTGCACTGCTCATTGCTCAGAGAAAATGCCAAACACCGAAGAGCTACACCTCAGACTCTATACAGGCCTCAGTTAACATGTTAAATGTTCAAGTTCATGACAGTACAATTAGAAAAAGACGGGACAAGTATGGCATGTTTAGAAGGTTTGCCAGGAGAAAAGCTTCTTCTCTCTGAAAAGAACTTGCCAGCGCGGCTTAGGTTTGCCAAGTTGCATCTGAGCAAACCTCAAAACTTCTGGAACAATGTCCTTTGGACAGACGAGACCAAAGTGAAGATGTTTGATCGTAATGCACAGCGCCAAGTTAGGCGAATACCAAACACAGCTTATCAGCACAAACACCTCATACCAACTGTCCATCACACTGGTGGAGGGGGAATCATTTGTGGCTTGTTTTGCAGTCACAGGACCTGGGCACCTCGCAGTCAATGAGTCAACCATGAACTCCTCTGTATACCAAAGTATTATAGAGTCCATCTAATGTGAGGCCATCTGTCCGACAGCTAAAGCTCGGGTCATGCAACTGGACAATGATTACAAGAAGCACAGCAGCAAATCTACAAGAGAATGGCTGAAAAAGAAAAGAATCAAGGTGTTGCAATGGCCCAGTCAAAGTCCACACCTCAATCCGACTGAAATGTTGCGGCTGGACCTAAAGAGAGCTGTGCATAAACAGATGCCCAAAAACCTCAATGACCTGAGGCAACGTTGTAAAGAGACTGATACTGTCATATAGAAAACGATTCCTTCAACTTATTGCTGTTTAAAATGGCTCTACAAGCAATTGAATCATAGGGTGTACTTAGCTTGTCACGCATGGCTTTTCCAATTTGGCTTTCTTCATGGTGTAATATGTCATGTGTTATTGTTCATCTGAGGTTGTATTTACCAAATTTTAAGACCTGCTAACGACCAGATGATTTTTCTTATGTTCTGTTACCAGGGCCTGAAGTTAACTTTTTTGGCCACCAGCCACTGTGGCAGGTGGATATCAAAATTCACCTGCCACAGAGACTTTTTACCAGCCTTTTTTTTTTTTGCCTCATAGCCTAAAGGTGAAAAACGGGAATTTCACAATATTGTTCTTTAACTTGTACACATTTAAGTGCTGTCAAGTTATTAACGAAATCAATATAAGTAATAATAACTCTTAGAATATACATTTTTAAAAAATCTTTTTATATATTGATTTTGACACACACACGCACAACAGATCTATAGACTTACCGCAGCTCGTATGTAAACAAATCACCCGCGGCTGTGTTGATGGCTGATTTAGTCACGTAGACAGCTAGGTCCTGACAGCTTTTAGTTACAGCGTTCAGGAGCCGTTAAGCAGAACTAAATTAATATTATTACTGGTAAATTTACCGGGTACCGGACATTTTCTCACCGGTTCCCAACTCCCAACATGTACTACATTTGCACACGCACACATCTGTGCAACTGTCATTGTTCTGGAGCCTACGTCAGCGTTACATTATCTCATCCCATCTCACCAACAGTTTAATACTCGCACATCCAAACATAGTCAGAAAAGGGCCTCATCTTCTTTCTGATCGTATCATGAACATTACGAAACAACAGTCGCTGTCATAAATCAGCCGCTCACAAACCTTGCCGTTGTCGCCAATTGACCACTTTGTATTAAAATGTCTTCTTTTACTTTTCTTTGACTCATCCTCATCTTTTTGTTGGTTGTTTGTTTCAGCTGGCCTTTTTACCCCAGTAATGTGCCGCCACATTATAGCTAAGGTCCAACGCAATGAAAATGAAAACGTAAAAAAAAAACCTAATGAATCACTCAATTCTCATTGGCTACCTGCCAATGTGGCAGGTAGATTGACAGTGTTACCCGCCAATGGCAAAATTCACCCGCATTTGGCAGGTGGTCGGGTGTTAATTTCAGGCCCTGTCTGTTACGTACAGTAAAAGCATAAAATTCTAAAGGGAGTCTTTTCTTTTTCACATCAATGGGACGATACACAGTAAGACCAGTTTTTTTTTTCTCTGCCAAGTTAATTTTATGTTAGAATCTAACATACCTCATAGTTCTAACAACAAAAATACAAACATTTTGACTCTAATGCTTATAAAATAAGTCATAAAACACAAATGTGTGTCCCATCTAGAATTAAATATAGTCAGTTACCTGTCTGTATGTGTCCTGATGGTGTTCGTCGTTGCGGGAGTCATAGTACTGCTCGATAAAGCCAAAGTATTCCTGCCGCTTCCTCTGCAAAGTGCTTTCCCTCCGCTCTGCATTGGCAGGCAGGTACCCCTGTAAATACAAAAACTAATGTTTACAGCGACCTGGACGAGATACCTCGAAATCAATCTGATATAGATCTGCGTTCGCCAACCAAACTAGCACTAGCACAATAGCTGCTCATTTCAAATCAGAACTCAGAAAAGTTTTAAGGTTTCCAAGAGTTTGGAGCCACTAAGTTGATATCAGTCACATTTAAAGTTACATTTCCTCTTATTACTGCCATAGCAAGAGAATGAGAACACAGCAGATGTTCAGGCCCAGAAAAGAAAGTCTCTTGATAAAGTAATTGATTGCACAAAAATCTACAAGCACAGAAATCCATTTATCACAGAAGACGCTCCCCCATGTGGCTATTTTTTACTTCCACACTCAGTCGAGTTCTGTGACAAGATGTATGCGTGCCAAGCAGCGCTCTTCTCTACGCTCCATTAGCATATGTACATGTAATTAAGTCTAACACACGAACATAAGTAATAAGTAACGTTCACATTATTAACAGAAAACCATGGAGTTAAAAAGGGTAGTTCTTAAACTTGATGGGGTACATGGGAGTGTTTCTTTATCTTACAGGCACGTTTGACCCTATGGACTTTTATAAAACTCTTTCCAGACTTGCTAGTTTATTTATTTTTTTCTATTAACAATATCCAACAGTGTGTATATGAATCATGGGAGACATAAGGAAAATTCTAATATTTTCCAAATTCTAAACCAACAAAATGTTATTTCCACCATAGAACAAGTTCCAAAAAATGTTAGATTTTAAGAGGATTTGTTTTCGCCCATTCTTTTATTTCAAAAAACAATGTAATTCTCTCTTAATAAACATTGCCCATCACTTCATCAAAACTCTGAAAACGTTTTGTTCAAAGATTCAGCCTCTCTAAACCCCTCCTTTCTGAAAGCCTACTCTGCTCTGATTGGTCAGATGGCCCAGTCTGTTGTGATTGGTCTAAAGCTTACAGCAGGCGTCAGATTTCAGCTCTTCCTCAGCACTTGACATAGCCTGACTACGTCAGACTTCGTACTTCCGCTCAATTTCAGTTCGCTTCTGTACTCAGTCTGAGATAGCGACCTATCTCTCAGTTTTCCTCCGGCCTGAAAACAGCCGGCCAATCAACGAACAGAGGGCGGGCTGAGAGCCGTGACGTAGACGCTAAGCGCCGAGTTTAAGATTGTATTTTAAGTTAGGGAAATCAAAAACGACCGCGGATATGGAGATACTGGATGCAATTCGCTCTGTTGTTGTGGAGAATATTCCCGGCATTTGCAAACTGAAGTCCGAACAAGAAGAGTGTTTGTTAAACATTTTCAATGGAGGTGATGTTTAAGGTGGAGAGAGAGGTGATTGCGTTATGTGATTGGCTTACGGGTAACCAATGATTTTATACTTCAGACAAGCGTCCCCCCGCGAGAAAGAAAACACTTTTCAATTATGCCATTCCAGACTCTGTCTACGAAGCAAAGCGAAGTAGCAGAGTTTGGTATTACCAGGCTACACTTGACATACAATGATACGAACAGTAACAATGCCGTCGGTTTTTTCGTATAAATTCCAAAGCGAGTCCTCATCCTTTTGAAATGAAAACAGCATCTTCTCGACACGTCAACAACATGAACCAAACTATTCTAGGCCTCAGCTACAACTAGTGTTTGAGGCGGATCAAAGTAGACGTTGTTCGCCAAAGAAAACCATAGGCTGGCATTATCCAAATTTGTTACATAGGTATGTAACAGAAAGTGAGACTAGAATTGCTGACGACTCGTTTCTGCAGTTTAGAATCGATTCTCCATTAGAAGACAATAACTTTGTTGTGCACTTTGATCTTTAAAACATTGCAGACCTATTACATTCAGACAGCTATTTTACACACTGCATGAAAGTGTTTTCGTCTACAAAAAGAACCGTTGTTATTAACAACACCCACAAAGGACAACAACACTGATCTAGCACTCGTGTATTAACACCGCATGAGGTGAAATGAACATGAAATGAAGTTGTTGTTCTCATTTTGTTGCCAGAGAAAGAGAAAGAGAGAGACAGACAGAGAGAGAACATGGCATTGTTCACAGCAGGTGCAGAGGTCCAGGAACAACAGGCCCGTAATAAATGTTTCCCAGCAGCTGGGTTTGGATGAACACATGCGTAAGGTCTGTGTCCAGGCACTGGCTCTGCATCAACCCGCTCCCACCTGCTCACGACGGGACACCATTACTCAAACACTTCGTATTAGTGCGACTGAAACCACCATTTAATCATCTGCACAGCTTTATCCTTTTATTTATTAAAGCCCACCGTGTGCTATTTCACTGAGTGTGGGTGGGTGAGAAAGAGATGGGTCTTCCACCACCTCCAAAAAATAGTAACCAGAGAATATGAGACACTGAGGTATGTTTTTTTTTTTATCGCACACCTACGAAATGTTACTTTAGAACACTCATAACTGCACTTTTTAACTAGTACAAGGCAGTACTTTTCAGCAGTTATTGCTGTCATGCCCACAAATAAACAGGGCATCATGGGGATTGTGGGTAAAATTTCAACTCATCAGAGAAAAACACCAGCTCTTTTTGTCATGGCGACAGTGCCATTACCTCACATAATGAAACCCTCTGTTACAAGGCAAACATTTCTATAGTGTTCGCATCAAGTCGAAAGATCAGACAGATGTAACCATAAACTGTATCATTTTTTTTCTTTAATTAAAAAAAAGATTTACAGCATGTCTCAGCTTCCTTCCATTGTAGAACAACAAAGCCAAAACATCCCAGTAATGCCAGGTGATTGTTGAAGTTTTCCAGGTGGTTGCTAGAGTGATGTTATGAGGTTGACAGGCGACTGTCAGGGTGTTATAATTGGTTGCTAGTGATGTTAAGTGGTTTCTAGGCAGTTACTAGGTGATTTCTAGGGTTCTGGTGTGATGTAAGGTGGTTGCTAGGTTATTGCTTGATGTTGTTGCCAGGTGATTGTTGGAGTGTCCCAGGCGATTGATAGAGTGATGTTAAAAGATTGCTAGGTTACTGTTAGGGTGTTATACGTGGTTGCTAGAGTGATGTTAAGTGGTTTCTAGGTAGTTGATAGGTGATTTATAGGGTTCTGGTGTGATGTAAGGTGGTTGCTAGGTTATTGCTAGGGTGTTGCTTGATGTTGTTGCCAGGTGATTGTTGGAGTGTCCCAGGTGATTGATAGAGTGATGTTAAGAGATTGCTAGGTTACTGTTAGGGTGTTATACGTGGTTGCTAGAGTGATGTTAAGTGGTTTCTAGGTAGTTGATAGGTGATTTATAGGGTTCTGGTGTGATGTAAGGTGGTTGCTAGGTTATTGCTAGGGTGTTGCTTGATGTTGTTGCCAGGTGATTGTTGAAGTTTTCCAGGTGGTGGTTAGAATGAATGTTATGAGGTTGCCAGGCAACTGTTAGGGTTTTTAAGTGGTTTACTACAGTGATGTCAAGTGGTTTCTAGGCATTTGCTAGGTGATGTCTAGGGTTCTGGTGTGATGTAAGGTGGTTGCTGGGTTATTGCTAGGGTGTTGCCAGGTGATTATTGAGGTGTTCCAGGTGGTTGTTAAGTGATGTTAAGAGGTTGCTAGGCATTTGCTACAGCATTTCAAGGTGGTTGCTAGGGTGCTGCTTACTGGCCAAAGACAAAAGAACCCAACTCAAGTCTCCATGACATTTTGGTCTCTGCATAACAAAGAGAAATAATACTGGATGTGTTATTCTGCTAAATGTAAAATTGAATCCTGTGTACGACCAATAATGATGCTTGCCTTAGCAAACACCACTAATGAAATCTTTATTGTCTAGGGGCTACCTGACAAAAGAGAAATGATTTCTTCTTAGGAAAGCGTTGAGCGGAGTTCGGTGGCAGTTTGTGAGACGTCAGCAGGATGCACAGAATTGATCATGCGTTAAAGCGCCCATTCAAACAGTGATGCCGCCCTACGCAGGTCATTACTCTTGTTAAAGGATGCTTTCCAGCTGTTCACGCTCGCTCTCCACTCACTCAAACACAAATACACACACACCGATGAACTCACAATGTGCACACCTGTGCAGGAGCTCAATAGCGTGGATCGATGAGGTTTGATTGAGTGGGGCTGCAGTCCAGGGTTCAAGTCAAGATGACAGATGAGGTAGCCGTAGGCAAATGAAGGTCACACGGGTAAATTGGATGTTTCTGTGTGTGTGTGTGACCGCACACTAGCCTAGAAGGGGGTCAGAATATCAAATATCCCCCTCCATTTCATCCTGTTTCAGACTGGCACATCATATATCAGTGTGGCAGGAGGGCATACTGCCGCCTGTCTGTGTGTCAAAGGGTACGACCACACATAACCTCCTCATCACGCCAGTCCTGTCCTGGGGGAAACGTTACACCAGTTATGTACTTCATATCTTTCATCCATTATAAAAAGTGAAATGTGTATATTTCTGTCAATCTTAAAACGTTTTCCCCTTTCTTAAAATGTCTGCATCCTGTTTACACTGCTCAGAGTGGGATTCGAATAAATGTCGACCGGCATGGGAAGCGGGCGTACTAGCAAGTGTGAGCCTGCCTTCCAAGCTGGTTGACACAGGTTGGGCCAGGGGGAGGTTTACTTGGACAGTTCTTACCAGCTGGCCCATCCAAATTCAAATATAACTGGCCCTACTCACACCGCTCCGAGAGAGATCCGAACCAGCGTCAAGCAGGATACGAGGCAAAGGAGTGGATAGACATTTATCTACACTGCTCTTCCTAGATGCCCATTTGCAGTAAAACATTTGAAGGTTGAATCCTAGGGGTGTGACGAGATCTCGCGAGACTAAAATGGGACGAGATTTCTCGTCGAGTGAAAAGTCGAGTTCTCCAGCTGGACTGCATTCAAAAATATCTTCAGTGTGGTATACAGGACAGATCCAATTGCACCCAAAAATAACGGCACAACGGAAAACGGCACATACACATTACATCAGAGGTTTTGTTAGTATGCACTATTTTAGCTCTATAGTAAAAGGTTGTTTTTAAGTAAGAAGAGTTAAAAATGGCAGTTTAAATTGCACACACATGGGGGTTAGAAGATTTCAGATTTCATCAAAGATATCTTCAGAAGATGAACGAAGGTCTTACGGGTTTTGAACGACACGTGGGCGAGTAATTAATGACACAAATTTCATTTTTGGGTGAACTATCCCTTTAAGTATGTTCAACAAGACCACATGTTTGAAGTGCATTGGTCAAGCGTTCACATCTTCATTTGCATTCTTGCATTATATATATATTTATACACCGGTATAATATATACATGGAAAGGAAGAGCTTTAATGACAGCAGACACTCCAGCTGGCATGAAAAAAAACCCAGCATTATTCATGATATCCCAGCATGATTTGAGAACTTTCCAAAGAGCTGGAAGCGTGATTTAAAAGAAGCAAGTAATTATGTAAAGGATTCAGCACAGACGGTCCAAGAGTCGGCCTAACAGAAGTAGGTTTTGCTCATTCACAGATTCAGGTTTTCTTCGACCACTGAAACAGTTTAACGCACCATTCGTTTTCAGTCGACTAGACCTCTGAGCTTCCAGGCGGATGTCATCCTAGAAGTCATTAGTAGGAAGCCTAATTACTTATAAATGTGTATTTATGTAGAATGCATTATGTATTCTTTGATTCATCTTGTAATGGATGTGCGCTGCAGTTCTCTAATGCGTTTGACCATTTGATGCAGGACTTCACTGTGCGCTGAGATCGTTGTACTTACTGAGAGGAGCTTCCATGTAATCGGGCGCACCTGCCGCGGAATTCCAGACCAGCTCAACTTCCGAAGTTCATCTGCGGAAAGGAAAGATTTTTATTAGACAGAAAATCACTAACTCAGAATAGAACTATGACTTTATCCCTTGTGAATAGACTGAATTATAAAGCAATGCCATTAAAATGTTTCAGGACAAAATGCTGCAGGTTTCCTCAAATAAATGCAGTTATATTTGCGGCCTTTTTGTTTTGGTTAGCTTTGCAGTAAAAACCCACCAATAACCATTGTGGATTTTATGTAATTAGTATTAGTTACAGGATTTTTTTTTGGGCATAGTTAAATAAATTGCAGTTCTGCAGTTGTTTTTTTATAGTCCCCCTTTAGTCAATCATTTCATCCCTTAAACCTCACCTTTGATCACCAAAATAACATATTTAAAAGTTTTTTTCTTGAAAAAAAAATCTTTCATGTCTTTAAATAGCTTGAATGTAACTCTACACCCTTGCCTCATTTAGTATATGTGGTTCTATGAATATGCAACTGAGCCCCACCTCCACTCACTCACACCAGCTCAGAGATCCACTCGTTGACAATCGCACGTTGTCTTAATTCTACGTGGCATTGATTCAACAAGGTGCTGAAAGCATTCTTTCGAAATGTTGGCCCATATTGATAGGATAGCATCTTGCAGTTGATGGAGATTTGTGGGATGCAAATCCAGGGCACAAAGCTCCCGTTCCACCACATCCCAAAGATGCTCTATTGGGTTGAGATCTGGTGACTGTGGGGGCCATTTTAGTACAGTGAACTCATTGTCATGTTCAAGAAACCAATTTGAAATGATTCGAGCTTTGTGACATGGTGCATTATCCTGCTGGAAGTAGCCATCAGAGAATGGGTACATGGTGGCCATAAAGGGATGGACATGGTCAGAAACAATGCTCAGGTAGGCCGAGGCATTTAAACGATGCCCAATTGGCACTAAGGGGCCTAAAGTGTGCCAAGGAAATATCCCCCACACCATTACACCACCACCACCAGCCTGCACAGTGGTAACAAGGCATGATGGATCCATGTTCTCATCTGTTTACGCAAAATTCTGACTCTACCATCTGAATGTCTCAACAGAAATCGAGACTTATCAGACCAGGCAACATTTTTCCAGTCTTCAACTGTCCAATTTTGGTGAGCTCTTGCAAATTGTAGCCTCTTTTTCCTATTTGTAGGGGAGATGAGTGGTACCCCGTGGGGTCTTCTGCTGTTGTAGCCCAGCCGCCTTAAGGTTGTGCGTGTTGTGGCTTCACAAATGCTTTTCTGCATACCTCGGTTGTAACGAGTGGTTATTTCAGTCAAAGTTGCTCTTCTATCAGCTTGAATCAGTCGGCCCATTCTCCTCTGACCTCTAGCATCAACAAGGCATTTTCGCCCACAGGACTGCCGCATACTGGATGTTTTTCCCTTTTCACACCATTCTTTGTAAACCCTAGAAATGGTTGTGCGTGAAAATCCCAGTAACTGAGCAGATTGTGAAATACTCAGACCGGCCCGTCTGGCACCAACAACCATGCCACGCTCAAAATTGCTTTATTGCTTAAATCACCTTTCTTTCCCATTCTGACATTCAGTTTGGAGTTCAGGAGATTGTCTTGACCAGGACCACATCCCTTAATGCATTGAAGCAACTGCCATGTGATTGGTTGATTAGATAATTGCATTAATGAGAAATTGAACAGGTGTTCCTAATAATCCTTTAGGTGAGTTTACACTATACTTTTTAACCACAATTGTTCGTCTTGTGCTGGGGCGGTACTTCCGCATACGTCCAGCATGACCTTTCCAATGTGATTACGTAATGCCTGGCGCGTCGCAGACCAGCACAAGACGAACAATTGTGGTTAAAAAGTATATACATTTATTTATTTATTTTTAGATAATGACCGATCGTTTCACTAGTTAAGCCCTTTGAAACTGCATTGATTTGGACTTCAACAATTTGGCTACCATTGAAGTCCATTGTGTGAAAAATCCTGAAATGTTTTCCTCAAAAAAACTTAATTTCTTTTCCACTGAAGAAAGAAAGACATGAACATCTTGGGTGGCATTGGGGTGAGTAAATTATCAGGAAATTTTCATTTTGAGGTGAACTAATCCTTTAAAAGCTTGATTTTCACCCCAGGGGGACTTTAATAATAATAACAACATGAAGCATGAATTGTGCACAATAACAACCTGAAAAATAGGGTACATTTTAATTTCATGTTGACTTCATAAAGCAAACAGATTTTGATAACACCAGTACATTGCCTACATTCACAGAGAGAACCATAAATGTAAAGAACTGTGGGCAATATTTGATGAAAAAGACAGCATGGGCTATGTTCAGAAAGTAATACCACTTACAGTTTACTCCAAAAATAAACAGCATAGTATAATAGAGCTGCATGATTTTGGATAAATTGAGAATCATATTTTTTTTGTGTGAGTTTTAAATAGAGCAGACAACTAAACAAAATAACATGTAATTTACTAGAGGTTCTTACAAAATGTTAATTGCAGTCTATTTAAAATGTTTAATTAATTTGAATGAATTAATGATTTTTTTTTTTTAATCAAACACCACTTGTTTCATTACTGGATGAATCCACATTTTTGAACAAATGTGTTATGTGAATGATTCAATGACACAATTTTTTTAAAAGTCACTTGTCGCCACCTACTGGTGTAAGAATGTAATTGATACAATCTTTACTTGAAGCGTAACGTTACTTTCAAAAGGTGACTTACTCTACTTTGATCACTACCGTAGACAAGTTTTAAACTTTTTATCCCAGTACTACAACGATAATTTGAATATTTGTAACAGACACAACCATACCCTAGCAGGGTCAGCGGCAGCACGAACACAGATTTGAATGTCCCGGTGTGATTTTGTCAAAGGTTTAATAGACAAAGGCGAATCATTGTCATTTAGGAATGAGATTGTGTGGATGTTTGAATCGAGATCGCAATCTTTTAACAATTAACTGTGCAGCTCTACACAATATGCAACAATGAAACTTTTCGAACACCAGTACACTACATTGTCAAATCGACCTCTCAGCACCTCATGCATGAAACATAAACATAAAAAAATTGCTCTGTAAATTTTGTAAAACCATTCTTACATAAATTGTCACACTGAACTGGCAATTTATGCAGGAATACTTTCCTGCATAAATGACTTTGTCTAAAAGTTGTTCTGCTCATTTTTCTTGAATGAGGCACATGCTTATTAGTTCAGAAAATGACGCCCAGTTATCATTCTGGAAATAAACATGGCTATAATGCATAAAATTTTATTTTGTACAAATTTCCGATCAAATCCAATTAACAAAGTTGTTAAAAATAATGGGTGATTTTTGCAACACAAATAGAAGGATGAATACAGAAAATGTACAATACATACTACATACTGTATACATGCTAGAAAAAAAAAGTATAATAAAGTTTTTAGTTCAAACATCTGTTGATATGCTCTTAATAGTAAATAGTCTGTCATCAAGGCATCTCTGATAAACTGTTTTCAACATCTAATGATTTGAGACGCAATAATCTGGCATATTTAAAAGTGCGGATAGCCTCCAAAAAAGGATTCAGCCTATAACATTTGAATTCTATGGGCACACCATGCTTTCAATAAGCACTGCTTAAGTGTGAATATGTGAACCCAAGAGTGCTAATGTGAATAAATCTCAGTGAGGCAAATTTGACTTTTAAAATGGACAAAGAGTCCCTGCAGAGCCTTAAAAGAGTGAAAAAGAACTTTAATAGCAAATATTTCTCATTTCTTATCTGTATTGCATATTTCAAGGGTTGATGGCAGCGATCATAATGTGTTGAACGTGGATTAGTCATTTCTCAGAGCCTTGACAATAGGCTGCAGTGTAATGCGCAGGCATTTTATTTGACATCAAAGATAAATCTGAATTTTAAATCAGAGGTTGGTTTAAAAATTCATACAACAGACCAAATGTGCCATGAATACAACAAGAGCCTTCTGGGGAAAGCGTTTTTATATTTTTCACAAAAAAAACCCAAGAACCTTTCTGATATCAGAGCTGGATATTTCTTGTGCAGTTTCTTTGTCAGGGCAAAATGAAGACTGAAGAGTATAAATAATGAAGTGTTGTTATGACTGCCATGCAAATATGAGTGAGTGTAAAAACAGACGTGATCTACTTATTTACACATCATTCATTATTATTGATGGCAATATTTGAAAATGAAATGTTGAATGAAATATTGACCCAAATTATTCTTCGCATTACATTAGCGGGAACACCCAGAACTTTTATTTTTATTTGATCTGCAGATTAATAGAAATCATGGTTATGAAATCACAATGTAAATTTGGATGGATGGACTGACGTACGAATGGAAAGAAATAAAAATGGATAGACTGACGTAAGAACGGATGGATGGACGTACAAATAAACGGATGGGTGGATGGACTGATGTACGAATGGATGGATGGACTGACGTACGAATGGATGGATGGATGGATGGATGGATGGATGGATGGATAGATGGATGGACGGACGAACGTACGAATGGATGGACGGACTGACATACGAATGGATGGACGAATGGATGGATGGACTGACGTACGAATGGATGGATGGATGGATGGATAGATGGATGGACGGACGGATGGACGTACGAATGGATGGACGGACTGACGTACGAATGGATGGATGGATGGATGGATGGATGGATGGATGGATGTAATGACGTACGAATGGATGGATGGACTGACGTACGAATGGATGGATGGACTGACGTACGAATGGATGGATGGACTGACGTACGAATGGATGGATGGACTGACGTACGAATGGATGGATGGACTGACGTACGAATGGATGGATGGACTGACGTACGAATGGATGGATGGACTGACGTACGAATGGATGGATGGACTGACGTACGAATGGATGGATGGACTGACGTACGAATGGATGGATGGACTGACGTACGAATGGATGGATGGACTGACGTACGAATGGATGGATGGACTGACGTACGAATGGATGGATGG